AGTAGAAGGAAAGGCAAAATTGAATGGAGACCACAGGATTGGAGAGATCAGGTGAATGCAGGAGTTCATACCTTGGATGGGGTGGTGGAATGAACCCCTTCGGCTTCAGAATTTCAAATGTAGTGTAATTATACACAACTTGACCAATGCCTAGAGCACAGGAGGTGCTGAATAAATATCTTATAATGAATTGATGACTTTCACTTTCAGGATTTTCTTTACTTTTCATATTCATCTTCCATAACTTAGTCTCAAAACCTGCTGCCTCTTTGGTAGAGAGCTTCCAGGCTTTTCTCCGCTGACAAATTACAAACAGATTATTCGGTGCAATTCAACTCCCTTCATTATCTACCTACTTTCTTTTTCTAGGAGCCCCTTCCCATAAAACCTCAGAGTTTAACTATGAGTTAGAGAAACAAAGACATAACATTTCTGGATTCTTGTTCTAAATTAATCAGAGTAACAACAATAATAATATTTTTGGTGAATCACTTTGTAGTTTACAAGTTACTATCTCAATTAACTGCTTCTTTGCCAAAACCCTGGGAGGTGGGCAAGACAGATATTATCACTGGAAATTTTGCACATAAGCCATTTTGAAAAGTCCTGTGACTCCCCAAGACCACCTTGCTTCCCTAAAGGTACAGCTACACTGGAACCCAAGCCCTTCAAGTCTTAATTCCAAGCTCTGGAACAGTCGTTCCCTAAACTTTGTTTAAGAGTTTGTTCAAAATGCAGATTCAATAGGTCTGGGATAGGGTTTTGGAATCTGCTTTCCAAGGAATCATCTGATGCTAGTGTTTCAGAGACCACACTCAGGAAAACACAAAGATTCTTTTTCTTTTCTCTCTTAAAAGAAAAAAAAAAAAAAAAAAAAAAAGAGGAGGCTGATCTCACCTCCTACCAATCAAAAATTTTTTTTTTCTTGGAGAAGTGGAGCCCCCTAGCTCTTCTCGTCTGTGACCTACCCACACACACTGATAAAGTTAATTATCTGCCCTGGCTAAATGACTTTCTCTAGCAACACTCTAGCAACTAATATCAGCTCTGCCTTAGGCTACAAAACTGCAAAGGGTTTTCTTGAAGTCCAGTGTATTTTACAACAGAACAAAACATCTGAACAGGAAACTAAACAGAAAGTAAACTGGACTCATTGCTAGGAGATGAGACATGGACACATGAAACAGTTAATGACAACCCGCCGAGACATAATAGTCAAAAATAAGAACATTTTTCTCTTCTTAAGTCCTATTGAAGTCAAGACAAAGAGAGACTCTGAGATCTCATTCCAAAGATGAGAGAAGATTTTAAACAGGCAAGACGAGAGAGGGCATTCTAGGTAACAGAAAAGCTATAAGCAAAGGTGCTGAGGCAAGACTGAAAGCAGAGGTTGACACAGGGGACCCAGTGCGGGTGGAAGCTCAGCCTGGAATCTACAACCTGGCACCACCAGGTGGGTATAATGAGGCCAGATGGTGGAGGGCCTTGAAAGCTGCCTGAAGAACTCAGTCTGAATCAGTGGGCACTGGGGGATTGTCAGACTTTTTACTCATAAAGCATTCATTGGTCCTCTACTAAGATCTAAGCACTATGATATCCATCTAGTGATGGAGACAGACACCAAACAAATACAAAAATTAAAAAGTAAACATACAAATGAATATGTAGTTATAAATTTGAGAATAATTAGAGAAAAGGTATCAGGTCCTAGGAGAGTATATCAAAGAGGGGCAGGATCTACCTAAGATATCAAGGAAGACTTCCATGAGGAAGCGGCTTTACACTGAGATCTGAATGATGCATAGGAGTTGGCCAGGACATGGGTGGTTGGGAGGGACTAAAGAGCACTGGAAGACTCCAGGTGGAGAGAATAGCACATGCAAACACCTCATGGTTGGAGAGAGCCATGAGGAGTTCACAAAACTGAAAGGCCAGTGGTGGCTGGACTGTGAGAGAGGAGGTGGGTGGCCTGATAAGCAGGTCAAGCAGGGCCTTGGAGGCCATGTTAAAGATTTTGCCTTTATTCTCAGAGCTCTGAAAAAGGATTTAACCTCAGGATTGACATTCATATCTGCGTTTTTAAAAAGATCACTTGGGCTTCAGTGCAAAAGACAGGAAGGAAGCAAGAATGGATGAGGACAGCCCAGTTAGGAGGCTGAGAGAGGATGACAACTCAGACTGGGGCAGTGGCAGAGGAGATGACGAGAAGTGGACAGATTCAAGAGGTAATTGGAAGGTGAAGGCAGTGACTGGGCGATGGATTAGATGTATAAATAAGAGAGCAGAGGTAGGAAGTGACAGCAGAGCTGAGTTAGGGAAATCTAGCTCGTGTAAGGGAATGGTGCTTGATGCGTTGGTTGGAGCCTGCTGTCGTAGTCCAGGGGCTGGAGTCAATACTAATGAGAAGAACCCCATTTTGGTGTTGGCAAGACCTGTTGAATCCCAACTCTTTTCCTTGGTAGCTAGGCACCCAAACAGGTAATTTTATAGGTTCCTAAATTTAAAAAATGGGGGCAAATGGTGCCTCCTACCTCACATAGATTTCTTGAGGCTACAATGTATGTAGGTGCTTATCACATTTTCAATACCCAATAAAAAATTAAATATTATGTCCCTGCCTGCTTCATGCTCACTGACTGCCATGTTAGATTTGGATATGTTGATTTAGATTTGATGAAAACATATTCAAGAATACATACTTGGACATAAGATAATAAGCTCCATGATAACAGTCCATATCTTACTCATCTCTCATTTCCTGACCTCTGAAATAAGATTGGGTATCCTGTTACACACCTGTTCATGAACCAATTATTTTAGTTTGTAGCATATATTGCAATCAAAATTTGAAAAGATTTAATTATGTATTTAACACTTGCCTTTCCTACAGGACTGTAAGATCTACAAAAGCAGGTAGCATGCATGTCTTGTATCCCAGTGCTGCACACATGGAAGGCCTTCAATATAAATGACTGAATGAATTTTTGTTCCCCTTCTGCCCCTCACCACTCAGCACAGAGCTTGGTCCCAAATCTACACTCAACCAGAACTTGCTGGATGAATGGGACTGTGCAATATGGAGTCTACCTGGAGATCTGAACCAGTCTCATGAAGGCAGAGATAATTCAGTCAGGACACAGATGTGGATCTGAGTGTCGCCTGGTAAAGGAGGGTAGGTCAGCAGGATCAGGTGCTGCTGAGGGTCAAGGAGGGCCTGGGATGAGAAAGGAGAATAATTGGCTTCAGCAAGGGGTACTTTCCGGTGCCCTCTGAGAGAAGGCACCCAGTTAATATCGGCAGCAGAAGTCACAGCGCAGGGCTCTGAGGAGTGGGGTGGGGGTGGGGCGGGGGGAGCAGGGGAGGGATGGAGGCTTCCACAGCAGATGGCTCTTGCAGTCTGTTTGTTAGTGATGTAAAAGAGGAAAACCTGACCTGGAAAGCAAAGACTGCTTTTTAAATGTAGGCACTTGGGGTGTGTTGAAGGCCCGAGGGGAAGAGGAGAGGTGGGAAAATAAAACTTTTGAGAGGGCCTGGGGACAGATGTTTGTTGGTACTGAGGCGAGTGTGGGTTTAAGGCATCTCCAAGGTGAGCTTGGTCTCCATTGCTATGGTACACAGGGCTAGTAGCCCAGACCCAACCACTGAGCCCAGGGGGTGGGGGGTGGAATGAAGACCAGGCCAGGTGTTTTATTTAATCTAATCCATTGCTGTCAAGTGGATTCTGACTCATAGCAACCCTATAGGACAGAGTAGAACTGCCCCATAGGATTTCCAAGGAGTGGCTGGTAGATTCAAACTGCCAACCTTTTGGTTAGCAGCCAAACGCTTGACCACCACACCACCAGGCCTCCCTTATTTAATCTAATTCATTTCATTTAATTCTAGCCACTCCAAGAAGAAGATTTTATTAGCATACCTCTTCTGCAGAAGAGGAAACTAAAGGTCTGAGGGGTTAAATAACTTGCCCAAGTCTCACAGTCGGTGAGTGGCAGCACTGAAGTTTGATTCAGGTCTCTTCCCAGGGACACACAGAGAGGGATTCTTCCATACTCAGCTGATTTTCAGGGTGGGTGACTGAGGCCCCAGGCTCTGCTCAGTGAGCCCTCAGGCTTGCACTTCTTGGCACATCTGTCACTTGCGACTGAGAACTTTTAACTAAAAATCTCAGCCAAGAAAATGAAGGCTTTTCTTTGACCTTTTCAAAACTCCTTTCCAGGGCTGCAAGATGACTTTCATCATCCTAGGGCACTTTTGCTTCAGTGGGCTCCTTTCTCTGTTAAAAAATATATATATATATACATATGTATATATATATATATATATACATATGTGTGTGTGTGTGTGTGTATTAAAAATTATACTTTATGAAAGTGTTGGTATAAAGATGAACATTGAATGTTATATGTTTAAACTTTTTCTTTGACCCAAACTTTTTTTTTTCCTTCTGATTTTAAAAGAAAACGCTTTCATGGATCCCTAAAAGTATTGTGGGCCCTAGATGCTGTGCCGCCAGGACCTCACGGATAAGTTCTTTTGCTCTTTTCTCACTCTCCGGTCTGACCTGTTCCAAAAGGGCGATGGGAAGAGCAATGGAGGGAGCCAGATAGTCATATCTAATCCTGCCTCGCTGTTTGGCTGCAAGCCTCTATTTGCTCACGTGTAAAATGAGGAAAGCCACATAATGTTTTCTGTAAGGTGAGAGTGTGGAGAAGCAGTTACCATGAGTACACTGTCCAGCACATTGCTAGGCACCGAGTAGGTGTGCAATAAAAGTTCTCAGTCTTTCCCTCCTTCGAGCCCCCTTCTCCACAGTGTCCAGACTGTGCCGTTAGCTTAGCTAGGTTTGGAGTAGCCGACTCTTTAGTGGTGGGACAGAGCCAGCAATGTCCTTGTGCCCTACGATTTCGTAGCCAGACCCTGGGAATCCAGCGTCGCAAAATAAACACGGCCGCTATCGCCAGCTCGGAAACAAAACTGCGCTGCGCTAGGCGATCTGGGCAAAAACCAGCCCTCCCTCCTCCTCCTCCTCCTGCGCCGCCGCCCTCCCTTCCTCGCGCTGCTCGGTTCCTTCGGTTCAGCTCAACGCAGCGCTGCTCGCAGCAGCGAAGCCGAGGCGGGCACGGTTTCCGAGTCCCCAGCGCCGGCTCCAAGCTCCTGCTCTCCGCCCGAGCTGCGCCAGGTCTAGCCTCTGCGGGGACCCCTTCGGGCAGGAGTCGCGTGGCGAGGGCCAGCGACGGCGGAACAAAGTTGGGGGCCCGCGAGGATGAGGCTGCCCCCGGAGCCGCTGAGGCTGAGCCGGAGTCCGGCGCTGCTGGCCCTGGCGCTGCCCCTGGCCGTGGCGCTGGCCTTCTCTGACGAGACCCTGGACAAAGTGCCCAAGTCGGAGGGCTACTGCAGCCGCATTCTGCGCGCCCAAGGCACGCGACGCGAGGGATACACCGAGTTCAGCCTCCGCGTGGAGGGTGACCCTGACTTCTACAAGCCAGGAACCAGCTACCGCGGTAAGTGGCTAGGCGTAGCATTGGGGGCGCGGGACCTGGCCCCCGGAGAGCGCTGACCGCGCGTTTCCGGATGACGGCGCGCCGTCCCCGGGCGGACGGTGCGGGCGCAGCCGGGCAAGGGCCCTATGTCCTGACTGCCCTCAGCCCTTCTAGCCACGAGCTTGACGCAGATCCCGAGCCAGCGTCCCAGGCCATCGCGGGGACCTCAGTCAGGCGAGGCAGCGCTGATCTCCGGCGCGCAGTGCCCAGGCGTGAGCTTTAGAGGGAACGACGCGTCTCGCCGGCCTGAGAGGGAGAGAACTCGACTTCTCCCGCGGCCGGCTCTGCGAGGGTAGCAGACCAGCCTTCCTCCAGACCGGTCTCTGGAGTGTAGAACAGTCGGTCTTCTCCCAGTCGGGTCCCAGGCAAGGTAGAGACTCCGGCATTCACCAGTCCCATCTCTGAAGCAGAGGGTACCGGCTTCCCGCAGACCGGCCCCCAAGGGGGACCGTCACTCCGGCTTCCCCGTACAGGTCCCTTCAGGAGAAAGAACCTCGGCTTCTCCCTAATCGGTCCTGAGACAGGGGGTGGGGAGGAAGAAGAGCCTGAAGCTCCTCGGAAGGGTCCCTTGAAAGCACCTCCAAATTATTCTCTCATTGTCCCAGGCGAGGGAGAGGATCCTGGATTTCCAAGACCGGCTTCCAGTGGGACCGGGGGCCCCAGAAAGCTCTGGACAGGCTCCGAGCGGAGACGGGAACATGATGAAGTGAAGAGAGGAAGCCCAAATTTTCCCAGGCCTGCTCCCTGGAGGCCAGGATACCCTAGCTCCCAGAGTCCTGAGGCTCCGCGCCCCGGGGATGTTGCGACTGTGGTGCTCAGCTGAGCGCTGGGTTTAGAGAGCTCAGGGAGGGGGTGTCAGAGCAGGTGAGCCCCTCCTAGGCAGGATGGGGGCAAACCGACCCTCACCGACCGGAAGACCCCTCATTCCACCGCCACTGCCCGCCGCCTTCCCTCAGCCTGTCATTTTCCCAGACATTTTTCTTCTGGGCAGCAGCCGCCGCTTTCCAGGTGGGAGACGGGACACTGGGGAGAGAAGAAAGCCTGCCTGTCCTCACGTGCCTGAACCCTGTCCCCTTCCTAAGTAGGTTCTGACGCCAAGCTGGGAAGAGCGGGCCGCTTCCGCGTCTTTGGGGTATCCGGGGCAAATGGGCTCACAGCCGCCGCCCTTCCATCCTCGCCTTCCCGGGTCCTACAGCGGCGCGGGAGGACACTGTGAGAGCAAATGGTAGAAAGTTTAGCGCAGTGTTCGCAGGCGCCCGGGTCACGCGAGCATCCAGAACCCGGAACCACTCCTCTCCTGTTTTTTCGGGTTCGTGTCCCCAACTTTCTCCACTTGTAGCTACCCAGAGCCGGGCGCTCTCTCGACAAGACGGTGAGCTCAGCACTGGGCGAGGTGCCCCTGTGCCCCTGCACGCTGGTCAGCGGCCACCTCAGTACTCCCGGAATACGTTGGGCGGAGAACAAATCCGCCCAGCGCGTGAGAGCGTGGGCGGGTTGTCCCCGCTGCTGGAGCAAGCCGAGGCAAGGTCCGGCTGCAGCCACTTGGTAGAGTGTTCCCCTGGACTCGAGGGAAGCGGGCTTAACTTCATTGGGTTGGCCTCTTCATTACTCCCCAAAACGGAGGCGCTGAGTACGCTTGGGAGATTGTCCCAGCTCCACGTGGTGGGCAAACAGGTGGCTCTGGAGTCAGGCGGACTTGGGGTTTAGTAACTGTGTGACCTTGTGCAAGTTGTTTAACTTCTCTGAGCTTATTTCCCAGCTGTTAAAATAGTATATCCAACTTCTCTGGGTAGTTGTAAGGAGTAAATGAGTTTGCAGAGGTGCATGTGCCTGAGCTCCAACAGGTCCCCAAATGCATGTAGGTGAGAGTTGGACAGCAAGCCTATTGGTTTAATAATGGAGGGTTCAGACCTGTCAAATTTGTTTTATTGTTTGTATTTGGTGTGTGTGTGTGTGTGTGTGTGTGTGTGTTTAAAAGTAGGTTTCTTTAGCACTCCTCCAGTCCAATCTACCAGTTGTTCTGAATTAATAGAATGAATGAAAGATTTCTCCGTACTAGGAGCCTAGCCTAAGACAGTTCCTAATTTAAACCTGGCAGGGTTTTTGTCGCTATAAGTAGGATTCGATTCGATGACAACGGGTATACATGTATGTATAGGTTAGTCTGGAGCCCAGGTCAAGTGTCTTACAAGGCATCTCCTCTCACACTAATCCTGCGTGTTTGGGAGAGCACTGGCAGGCTGTGGCCCCAGCGCTGAGAGATGGGAGGTAGGCAGCATCCAGCTTACACAATAGCCAGAGAGGTTCCGTGACTACCTGAGTGTTCGTGGCCAGTAGGTGGGGAGCTCTGACTGGAGGAGAAGGCACCAGGCTTTCACCCGATACTCTACTCCAGTCTAAACTATGGCTTTTCTTGGCCTGTGGCACCCATACTCAAGCCATGGGTCAGCGAAGTATCTTTTCTGCTTCCTCATAGCTAAGTGATCTTACCGGAGGATATTGCAGGAACCATGCTAAGGCCTTCCTTGTAAATACTTTGCAGTCAGCAAACCTGATTCCTCCAAAGTTAGGAAGAAAGGGCACTGGCCTAGTTTGTTGTATTTTCTGTTGACTTTCTTTTATACTTTCTTGGACTAATTATGTTAAAAGTAAATCTAATGCGTTCTGCTTGGTGTAGACTCAGGGCTGCAGAAGATAAAATTCCCCAGTGTTCTATTTGCTTTTTTATTTTTTCCTGAATTAGGACCCCACACGAGCCTTGGAATCAATGGCATGTTTTCCCATCTCAAATTTTTTGCTGATGCCAGACTTGTTCCCGTTATTCCAGTTCATCCTCAAACAGCTTTTGCTCTCTGTTCCCACCACCCTAGTGTATTCCTTAGGTATTCTAGACTGGAATAACCAAACCAAAACCAAACCAGATGCCCTCCAGCCAATTCCAAATGGTCACCATTTAAATAAGAATACTGAAACATGAGGTTTCCTCCCCACAGCCTAGGTCCAATACCAGAAAAAAACCCACTGCCATAGAGTGAATTCCAACTCATAGTGATCCTACAGGACGACCCTATAGGACAGAATAGAACTGCCCCATAGGGTTTCCAAGACTGTCACAACTTTCTCCCGCAGAGTGGCTAGTGGGTTCAAACCCCAACCTTTTGGTTAGCAGCCAAGCTCTTTAACCACTGCACCACCAGGGCTTGCCTAAGTCCGATACAGATTATTATTCAGCCTTTTCCAAGTTGTTAGCACTATACTGACTTCCTCCTTTCTCCCCTCACTTCTTTCTTCTTTCACTCCCTCCACTACCCCACCCCCTGCAATAATTGTGCTTTAGAAAGCTCTGAAAGGCCTGCTCTGTTTCTGACTGTGGCCTCCTTTGAAAAGGAGATTACAGTGATTAAAAAATAACAAGTTGAGGATCCTCAAGGGGCTTCCCTTATAGGAGGACAATTTGCAGGACCAGCCTTTCCCAGATCACAATTTCAAGCCAAACAGAAGAAAATCAGTTGAAATGCTCCAGCCTTGATTGAAAATAAACGAGGCTCTTTTGTCCAACCAAAGGTCTGTTTATTAGGGAAATAGTCAGACCCTGGCTAATGAGAGTGGCTTTTCCTAGATGCTCTTTAAAGGGAAATTTCAAGGAACTTGATGGGAAAAGACCTTTTAGTCGAGATTTCAATAGCTGTCCAACTTCAGGCATAATTGGGGATTCATTCTAAACTGGGAGGGTTGGAGACCTCCAAAGCTGCTTTGCTTGCTTTCTTTGTCTCACTCTGGGACACACACTGCCCGCAGGAGTACTCAGCTCAGCCCGGTGCAAAGAGCACAGGCTTCGGTGGTGTTTGGTAGGTTTCAATTCCTGCCGGTCACATATTCACTGTGTGACGTCAGGCAAGCCACTTCTCTCTCAGCCATAATTTCTCCATCTGTAAAATGAATCGTAATGCACTTTTATGTATTTATTTATATGTAGCACTGCTGTGAGAATTAGAGATAATTCATGTCAAAAAAAAAAAAAACTGCAAACTGCAACACAGTAGCTGCAAATACATATATATATGATTAAGGAGCCCTTGGACCTGCTAACGAAAAGGTCAGCAATTCAAATCCACCAGCCACTCCTTGGAAACTCTATGGGGCAGTTCTACTCTGTCCTGTAGGGTTGGTATAAGTCAGAAGTGACTCGACAGCACTTAATAACAGCAACAACATGATTATATATGGGTAAATATATAGAGATGATTATTTTGGATTATTCAGGAAATATTTAGCAGGGAAACACTGGATGAGACATTGTGTTATTTCCTACTCATCTTACTTACTTTTTATAGTACTTTGAGGCAGGTTGTTATTATTCTCATTTTATAGATGAGAAGACTAAGTCTCAGAGAGGTTTAGTAACTTGCCCATGGTCACACAGCTAGTAATTATTTGAGTCCAGATACAGTCTCAGTTCTGTCTGACTCCTAAATCAGTGCTCTTAACCAGTCTTCTATACTGACTCACCAAAATGAGTTGGGAGTAGAATGAATTCGCTCAGCGATGCTCAGCCTTCTGGATGGTGAGTCTTCACGGAAGGAAAACAGCAACAACAAATCAAGATAATAAGTGACATATTTCAGGACACAAAGCAATAAAGTGATGGGTCCTTATTTACTTTGGCTTTTTCTTTTTATAGACTTCAGTATTGCATTTCCGCTTAAGCCAGTTAATTTACAAACATGCAGAACCTTGTCAGTCTTCAGCCAATCCCTTTTGTTGGTGGGGGAACAGAAACAAATTGGAGAGAGAGAAACAAAAAAGTAATTTGACTTGCTTTATTTAGTTTTATGATGATTATAAAAAATTTTTTTATTAAGGAACCCATGACGTACTAGGGAAAATGACAACATATACTTTAATTTATTCATCAGATATGTAATGAATATCATATATAAAAAGTCCTTACCTGGATTCAT